GGTTACCCTTTTGAAGTCGATTTTGACATTTTCAAAAGGTTTTGAGATGAGTACGATCGTTGTTTCAAAAAACTAAAACTATTATAAGAAAAATTATAGGTTTACTTGCACATAGTAGCTAAACGAGGTCGTTTGATCTGTGCTAATTCGGTGTCGTGAACTCACATAGGTTTACTTTGATTTTGAAGGGCAAAATTGAACTAACTGCAAATATGATTTAGGGACTTCAACTTAGCTACCTTGATAAGTGACTTCACAACTATCTGAAGTTGGCTTGACTTCTTTGAGTGCTAAGGAATGGTGGGTTAGCTTTGGTGGGTTTTCTTTTAATGGCGGTTTTGAGGTTAGTGAGGAGGAAAAACATTAAGGATATGGAGAAGGTATCTGAAAGAGAAAAGAATTTTGATACTGTTTTGATTGAGAAAAGTAGACTGCCTTCTGCTTCAATGGTAAGAACACAACCAGCTCTTGAAAATAGTTATCTTCCTTGATTCTTTTTCTTTTTAGTTGTTGGGACGTTTTCGTCGTTGTGTGGAATGTGGAGTGAGAGAAAGAACGTTTAAACGAATGATATAATCGGTAGACTTTTTTACTCTTGAAGTGTAAAGTTGTCGAAACGATTCTTTTATTAACTTCTCTAGGTCGTATTAAAAGAGAAATGAATACTACCGTTGATGATCTCATGGATAAACACCGAGACTGAAGATGAAGAGTTATTGGGCTCTTGATCATGGCTACAACAAGCTTGGGTACCATATTTAAGAACGGTAGGATATCAAATCAAAGCGAAGCCCTTGTAATGAACTTAATATTGTATGAGCCAATTTGCTCTATATGAATGATTAAAATGTCAATTTTTTTACTGGTCGTGTTGGGTTAGAATTCTAGAGAGCGGTCAGAAAAATGTATTTGATTTTGAATTTTTTTTTTTTTGGTTTTTTTTTTTATGTTTTATTTTATTCAAAAGCTTTGAAAATTGATAGTGCTTTCTAAATAAGTCCAAAAGAATCTTTAGATAAATTACTAATTTAAAGTGTCTTTTAAGTTAATCTTTTTAGTGGAAAAAAAAAAACTACCATATTTGGTATTGAATATAAATAAAAAGGTTGATTAGTTTAATGTGTTAGGTTTGAATTAAAATATATTTTTTTAGACCCATAAGAGTTTAAACTTTGGTTACTTTTGCAATTATAACGGATCAAATTTTAGAAAAGAACCGGGGATGAAATTTTAAAAGAAAAAGGGAACGTATAACTCTATAGTAATAAGTAAAATGGGCTAAATAAATTTGAATTGGGTTACTTATTTTACTGGATAGAACTCATGTCGTTCAATATATTTGAATCAAATTAACTTAAACAAACTTTGACCATTTGGATGGTTACTAAATATGAAAAATCTATTGTATTTGGATGGTGACCAAGTTATTTTGCATTCATCTTTTGAGGAGCTCATTGAAAGCTTACCTTAAAAAAGAAGGGACACTTTGAAATATTAAGTAGATAATCTTTTCGTTAATATCGTCTCCTCTTTCCTTCCGACTACTAATATTTGAATTGGAATAATCAACTTATTCATATCATTCAATTCCTCTTTCCTGATTTTTCTTACTGGTCACTGTTTTGTTTTTGTTTTGTTTTGTTTTTTTTTTTTTTGTTAAAATTATTTTCCTACCAGCAGGTTTGAATTCAATGAAATTTTTTTTTTAAATTTCTACCTCAGGTCAGAAGTTAAATGAAAACTTCCTTTTTATTAATTATGGAAAATGAAAACATGTACGACCAGCAACTAAGGAAGATGCGCCCAAATAACCAGTGAACAATAATATTTAAAGAAGTTTCAGAGAGCGAGAAGAGGATTGTGATAGAAGTTGCCCTAGGTAAAACTTCTTTAAATGTCTTAGCCAATCATGACCTCATAATGAGAAGTCTCTTGGACAACAATAACATATTGACAACATATTTCTTAGCCAATTGTGATGGTCATGATTGCTCAAGGCGTGTCGACCAAATAACCGGTAAACAATAACATTGCCCAAATAACTGCCTTGGACAACAAATCGTTTACAAGAATGGCTGAGACATGCAACATGCAACCATAGGCAACAAGCCTTGGGCAATCATGACTGTGACATCTGCCCCCACACAAGGTTTCTATTGAGGTTGGCTCACTCGAGCTCCCCTTTTCAATTACAACAATAGCAACAAGCGTAGATTCATCATGACTATGATTCTTTCTCAACTGTAGTATCGACATCATTTTCAACCCTCTTGGTTGATGGATGTTTTTCTGAATGATCGTGGGTTAGACTCCATTACTACTAGACATTTTGCTAGGGGCATGTAAATGACTTTGTGTTTCAGCAGGACGTTCATTCCTGACACGACATCAAAGTCATCCATTTCAACTATCACTAAACAATTTGCCTAGTCCAAGGCTCCAGCTTGATTAGAGTTCTCATTGTGACTCTTAAGACAGGTAAAGCTTCCAATTTGACGGCGTTCATCTTTCCTGTATCTTGATGCAAAAGGATGTTAAAATATTTTGCATCAGTCTCCATCATGAGTTATGGGTGGCTCTAGAGTTGACAATGGTGTTCCTTACTACTTTGTGCTTTACCCAAACCTCGACATACATAATATATATATATTCATTTAACTATAACACATATAGTCCATGGAAGAATTGTAACTCTTATGCTCATTAATATATAATGGCTACTACCTAAATTATAACCTAAAGTTGATAATTGATGTCCAATTAGCCAACCCTAAGTTTGTAATCATTGTGGAGTGATTGAAATTACAATGGAAGTAGTTTAAACTCCTAGTACCTTAAATGAAGTTGGTCTCTTCTAATAAAACACCAATTTCTCTTTAATATCATTAATACAATTATGCTTCATCTTGAACCTACTAAACATGAAACTAAAACTGCATTCAATTTAACTCCATTTTATTGTCATCTTGAATGACGTGTAGGATATATTCTTGATTTACCTTGATATTTCATATTAGTTAAGCTTTTTGCAAAATCACAGTTAGACAACAACAAAGATGAACTTGAGTCTGTTTATTATTTTAAAGAAAATTTCTTTCTCCATCTTATTCCTAATAACTCTACAACTAAATTCATATTATGCTAACTCGCAAGAAGTAAAATATGCAACTTTAACAAAAATTTCATCTAAACAAATTTTATTGCCATACAACATAGATGACAATTATAGCCTTCAAACAAAAACTAGAGTAGTTGTGGTGAACGGGATAAAAACTCTAGTGTTCATCCATAATATACAACCACTACCTAAATTATGACCTAAAAATTTGAAAACATAAGTTGTAGTTGAAAATTGCATAAAACAATCCCCTAAATCCAAGAACTCGTGTCCAATTAATAAATCCTAAAAATAGTAGCTAACGTAGAGTAATTGAATCTCCACATGAAGTAATTTAAAATTCCAGTTACTTAACTAAAGTTTATCTCGTCTTTAATGAAGCATAAGTTCACTACAAGAAATATGACATTCCATAGCTTTTAAATATAACATTTTAAATATTATGTTATGAAAGAGGGAGAAAAAAAAAAAGCTGAACATTTCCTTTTTAAAAAAAGATGGTGAAAAGTTGGGTTAAAAAAGAGAGGACATTTGGTTTTTTTTTAAGAAAGAAAATTTGGGTTTAAAAAGAAAAAAAGGGAAAGGCGGAAAACCACTGTCCAACCTTTCTTTCTCTCTTTCCCCCTTTCCTTTACTGAATGTTCTGTTCTTCCCATTTGGAGGAGTTCACGCTTGTTTGCCTCCACAGGTTTGTTGCATTCAATTATGCTAAATTGAAGTTAAATAAATACTATTTTTAATTGCTTTGATCCTAAGTGTTTGGTGCTTCTATTGGTGATTCTCAATTTTGAATTTATGATACAAGAATTGTGGGGATGTAGCTTAGGATGGGAAATTGAGGGTTTTATGATGCAAGAATTGTGGGGATGTAGCTTAGATGGTAAAGCTCATTTAGCATGGGAGAGGTAAGGGGATATCCTCATCTCCAAAAGAAACTATTTGTTATTAATATTTTACTTCTATTCAACCTTTCCTTATTTATGACATAATTAGCGGAGACATTTTTTCATTTTCACTAGAATTGATGATGGGACATTTAGGGTTTTCTAATATAAGTATTGTGGGAATGTAGCTTAGATGATAGATTGCTTGCTTAGCATACGAGAGGTACGGGGATCGGATCGATACCCCATATCTCCAAAAGAAACTATTCGTTATTACTATTTTATTTCTATTCAATTTTTCCTTATTTATGACATAATGAATAGCGTTATTTTTTTATTTTTCACTATTATTGATGACGAGATGTTTAGGATTTTGTGACATAAGAATCTTGAGGATATAGCTTAGATGGTAGAGCGTTTGCATCAAATGTGAGAAGTACTGGGATCGATACCATGCATCAAAGGAAACGATTACTAAATATATTAGTTCTTTTAAATTTTTCCTTATTTACGACATAATGAGCGGGGATAGTTTTTCATTTTCAATATCATTGATGAATGGGAAGTTTAGAGTTTTTTGATATAAAATCGTGGGAATGTAGCATGCGAGAGACACGGGGTACCTCGCATCTCCAAAAGAAACTATTTGTTATTACTATTTTATTTCTATTCAATATTTCCTTATTTATGTCATAATGAGTAGTGATATTTTTTCATTTTCACTATTTTTCATGATGAGACGTTTAGGGTTTTGTGACGTAAAAATTGTGGAGATGTAGCTTAGATGGTAGAGCGCTCGCTTTGCATGCGAGTTGTACGGGGATTGATAACCCACATCTCCAAAAGAAAGTATTTAATTTGTTATTATATTTTTTCATTTTCACAATTATCGATGCCCGACATCACCAAACCAAACTATTTGTTATTAATATTTTGATATTTTTATTTTCACTATTATTGATGATGGGACATTTACGGTTTTACAATGTAAAAATCATGGGGATGTAGCTCAGATGGTAGAGCGCTCGCTTTGCATGCGAGAGGTACAAGGATCGATACCCTGCATCTCTAAAAATAAGACTATCTATTATTAAATATATTATTTCTTTTCAATTTTTCCTTATTCATGACATGTTGGGTAGCAATATTTCTTCATTTTCACTATTATTGATGACGGAAAATTTAGGGTTTTGTGATGCAAAGATTGTGGGGATGTAGCTCAGATGGTAGAGTGCTCGCTTAGCATGCGAGAGGTACGGGAATCGATACCTTGCATCTCCAAAAGAGAGAAATTATTTTTTTAAGTAAGAGTTAATTTAACTTGTTATGTATAAGGTGGGTACGAGAGAAAAAGAAAAGATACTTATATAAGAATTATTATATCGGCTATGCCATTTTAATAGATAAAAGAGAGGAAAGATACTTATATAAGGATTATTTATCAGCAATGCCATTTCTATAGATAAAAGAGAGTAATGTCCCACAAGCACATATAGGGAGAGGACTTATTGTAAGTAAAGAAAGCAATCTAGTTGTTATACTATTACTTGTGGAGAGGGAATTTGATGAATTCCTCAAAAGATAAGAGCTTATAGGATGGCGGTAGCGTCCGATGCGTTACTTCTTCATCATTGACATGGTCGAATTTTACAACAAAGTCTAATTTGATGAATTCCTCAAAAGATAAGAGCTTATAGGATGGCGGTAGCGTCCGATGCGTTACTTCTTCATCATTGACATGGTCGAATCTTACAACAAAGTCTAATTTGATGAATTCCTCAAAAGATAAGAGCAAGTTACTTCTTCATTATTGACATGGTCGAATCTTACAACAAAGTCTAATTTGATGAATTCCTCAAAAGATAAGAGCTTATAGGATGGCGGTAGCGTCCGATGCGTTACTTCTTCATCATTGACATGGTCGAATCTTACAACAAAGTCTAATTGAGCCTCCCTCTCTTAGGAGATAGCTTCGAATCAATTTCTTTAGTTTGGACAATGATTGCATTGTTTTAGTCAAACAACCAAGACTAATGTATTATCAATAGTATAAACATTTTGTACGTGTATTTTCTTACATATTAACAATTGTATACAAATAATAATTAAATTTATGAGTAGAAGTTTGGATGGAGTTTTATTAAATAGGTAATCTTAAATTATATCTAAAAATATATAAGATTTTTTTTTCTTTTTATATACATTTAGGAGAACAAAACAAAGATTCAAGAAGATGTCATTCATGCCATGTTTTAATATTTATTCTTTCTTATTTCTCAAAGATTAAAAAAAAAAAGTTATCCTCTCTCAAATATGGTTCGTTATTTGATTATTTTCTCTTGAGTGAATTTTAAGTGAAACACATTCTCTACCCAAATAATTGCAAGATGCAAGCTTTACATTAAGAGGAATCAAAGTCCCAAGTATCAACGTCCTTAAGTGTCAATTTTTATTCTCCATCTCAACATAAATTAAACTTATTTTCGTGAAGATATCTATTTATAAAAGCAAAATATCTCAGAGTAACAAAAATAAAAATGAGTTATAGATACTAGACATAAATATGATACCAAATAGATATGGTAACATGCCATTCTTAAAAAACTAGGACACCCATATGACAATGATCCATTAATTAAAAAGAATTATTTCAAAAAATTTATCAATTTTATATTAGAAATAAATTCATATAAATAAGTTTATATATTTGTATACTTAAAAAAAAGCTTAATGTACGTTTCACTCTTAAAATATATTCAAAGTCAAGTGTCTGATACGATGGATTATAAATTTGTAATGTATCCATTGTATTAACAAGTGTTCAGTACATGCTCAACACGTGTCAGATTAGTGACACTAAGTTATTCTCATACTTTCTTTACACCCATTTAAAGTAGTTTGAAAATTAGCACGTCAAATATTATAATTGACTAACTACCACTTCAATTTTGTGCTTTAAGGATTGTTTTGACCAAAGAGAAATAAAATTGTTAATTTAGTACATGGTAGCAAAGATGGACATGAGAATGAGTTATTCTCATATGGAAATAAATTTAACCTTAAGTTATATCTCATATCCTCTTTTAACCAATTATTTAGTATGTTTTAGAAAGATATGTTCATCAATAGCAAAAAAATAAAATAAAATAAAATAAATAGAATAGATTAAATTAGTCAAAAAAAAAAAAACATAAAAGATGAATTGATTAAATTGGCTAATTGCTAACATAAATGTAACACACCCAGTAAGATTAGGAACACAAGTAAAAAAAAAACACAAACAGCCACAAATCAAGATTTGGAAAGTGTTAAACAGTTTTGATATATAGACATTTCAGACTTTACTCCTGCAATATTCCCATGAAATCTAACACTAGAGCATCATAAAATTTAGAGAAATGATTGAAATTGATGTCATGTTCATATAGGTTGGCTTTAATACAAAGGACAAATCGAACTTTCTTAAAGATAAATTGGGGACACCAACCTCAGCTAATCAGGTAGGTGGCCTTACCATCCATATGGTTATATTTGATGTTGACTGTGCCCGTGGTTCTGCAAGTGTCATATATATTGATATGTGTGAAATGTTTGTGAATCGATATGCTTATGATATGTTATAATATGTGAATTGTATGATAATACTTACGGTACCATGTGTTCAATGGTATATTTGAGATAGGATACGAGAAGGATGCACTAAACGTAATGTAACGATAGAAGTAAGACATGTTCATGAAACGTTATGGTTTGGTTACGTATCGAAGTGCTATGGGTATGACAGATTGATAAAAACGATATGGTCACGATGGATTCATAAGACAATACTATTAGGTTATGGGTAGAAAGGGATAGGATTATGATAGATTGATAGAACGATAGCGTTGCGATACGTTCCTGTAACTTTATGACTAAGGTACGTTCAGGTAACGACACAACTATGATATGTCTAAAGACGTTAAGGCTATGATAAATTAGGGAAGGATATAACCATGAAGTTTTTACGATATGATATGATTATGAAATGACATGTGAAGGACGGATATATATCCAACAAGTGTCAAAGAGGGACGTGAGAATAAATTATTCTCAAGCTTTCTTTACATCGGTCAAAGAGTATTTGATAAGCTTTCAAAATTAAGGGTTTTCTTTTTTCTTCTTCCTTCTTTCTCCCTTTTCAAGTTTAATTTTTTTTTTAAATAAAAAAAAGTTTAATGTGAGAATGAAGAAGTTAGAAAGGAGAAAGAAATGAATGTAATAAAACTTTTTCGTCGGTAGGAATGGAAATGGTGAATGGGTCCTTGACGATAGTCGACCGCTATACTCTAGTTTTGGATGTAAGTGATGATTATCAGCAATATGAGTTGTGTCAATACCACACCGTTATCAAGAGGAAGTAAAGTAGAGTAGAATAGATGAAGCGATCCATTTGTTGAGAGTACTGTAAGAGGCACACAAGTAACTACTCTTTCACATCTGAGGGATGAGTCTCATAGATCCAACTATAATATCAAAGAAACTTCGGGTGGTAGTGATTGCTTGCATTGGTGTCTCCGTTGTATCCTAGACACATGTAACATGATTTTTCTTGCTCAAATATAGCTTCATTTGTCTTAAAAGTTCACTTTTGAGTAATCCTAGAAGGCTTCTTAATTTGCAGCCTTGGGTGAAGATGATCACTCCGAGGTGGGTTTGTTA